TTTCAGACACACTGCCCTCAATACAAACACATCACTGATCTGATCTTGAGTGATTTAGTGAGGAGAAATCAATAATCCTAAAACAGAGTAACTTATATCAGATGTATGATGTCTAGAGATCAATGCAGCTCATCCACATCACGGGACGAGCGAAACCCCCAAACTAAAACACTCGCGCTCATCTCGTGTACAGAAATCTGCTGTCTTTATGTGTCTGATTTCGGTCATTCCTAACATATGCTTTCTGTTGTGCTCCGTGTGTTTCAAAACAATTACAGCTCAGACTCGCAGGATGAAATGAATAAAACTTACCAGGAAATATTGAATACGAAAGATGATTTTCAGAATAAAAGCCCCGTCTGGATAACAATAAACCAGCGGATTTTACATACACCTAAAATGCACGTGTAGATTCAGTCGAGTAATAAAGTTTAGACTACCCTCTTAACCGTAATGCTGTTGAACAGAATTTACAGAGCAAACTATTTGCTAAAATAACCCTAACATCATCAGCAACACTGAAATACAAGTACCCAGTTCTGTCAGTCAGATGCGTGTGAAAGTTGCATGTGTTATCATTGGCTGGTAGAAAGACAAAAATAGGTTACATACACATTTTTACCTAAAAATGAATATAAGGTAAAGGTGTGAATAATTACATTTTAGACACACTGTCATAGCCAGCAAAAATAAATCCCTAAGAGAACTGTGCATAGATCAACACAGCAGTGTTTCATTAATGAATCCACATTTTTAAACGAATCTAGTGAATCAATGATTCAGTGAGACATTCATAAAGGCAGTCACTTGCTTCGTTTCTGAATGGAATGACTCACTTATTAAGACAGGGATTTGCCACCACCTACTGGCGCTTTTAGTATTGTTTCTTTTTAAAAAATAATTTCATAGTTCACTATTTTTTTTTGTATTTTGAATTTAAATATTTCTTTCTAAAGCTACTTTTTTGTAATGTCTATTCAGTGTTTTTTCTAAATGAACACAATGATAACTATTATCTTTAATAACTTTATCTTTAATTAATCGGCACATGATGTGCTCAAAATGAAGTTCCTTTTCGTTCTTTGTTTAGGGGTAAAACGAAGTTTGAAATATGTGAGCAGCGGTATACTGTTATTGAACATCCCGACACCACCCACTCTGATGAAAGCAATGTTTATATGAATATGTAAATATGTGCTGCGCGCTTTCCTCTCAGTGACAAAATAAACACAACAAAAATGGAGAGAACAGCAAGCATTTTTTTATAAAAAGCATCTGATCATAGCAACATGGGTATGCTTGCACGAGATTTGCAAATTAATACTCCTGTGAAGTCACGTCACGTGTATTTACATGGCACATTATTCAATATATTGCTTAAAGGGGTCATAGGATGCCAATTTTCCACAAGTTGATATGATTCTTTAGGGTCTTAATGTAAAGTCTGTAACATAGTTTGGTTAAAATTTCTCAATGGTAGTGTAAAAAACACCTTTTTTACCCTGTCAAAAACAGCTCTTTTCAGAGGGCAGTTTTGTAGTATTTTCCTTTAAACGTTAATGAGCTCTGCTGACCCCGCCCATCTCTTCCGAGCCGCTCTCA